TTTGTTTGTTTTTTGCGTTTTGTTTTTAAAATATGTCTTTATTGATTTCAGAGAGAGGAAAGGAGAGGGAGAGAGAGAGATAGAAATATCAATGATGAGAGAGTCATTGATCGGCTGCCTCCTGCATGCCCCTGACTGGAGATTGAACCTGCAACCCGGGCATGTGCCCTGACCGGGAATCGAACCCCAATTGCCTGGATCCTAGGTCGACGGTCAACCACTGAGCCACGCCCGGCTGGGCTGGACTGATGTTTTAAAAAATTCATTGATTTCTCCTCTTATTCGGTCAGTAGTTGTATACTCTCTTGTAATTATTTTAGTGGTAGAGATGACCAGATGCATCCTTGACAGCAAAAGTCTCAGGTACTTGCCTCTTTCCAGGACAGGGCAGGGGGTCTCACGTTTCCAGCCCGTTGGCCCCCACCCCCAGCACACAGGCTGTTCTGTATTTTACCTCCCGTGGGTAGTGAGCCTGGCAGGACCTCGGTGTGGGGGGGTCTCTCTGCTTATACTCTGTTCTCCTGTCTACCTGTGGTCCTCACTTCTGATCTGGGGTAATTTACCTCCTGCTGAAGAGTGCCGGCATGGACCTGCTGGTGACGGGTCTCAACTTTTGTCTGCAGGTGGGCTTATTTCACCCTCACTCTGGGAGGACTTTTTCATTAGGTACAGAATTCTAGGTTCACAATTACTCCCCCTCAGTGCCCTGAATGTGTCTTCTAGCTGCTGTTTGGAGGACAGCCTTTCCCTTGGGCTCTGCGGGGCCTCTTGGGTCTGCTGCGTGATGTCTGTCATCGGGCTCCTCCGGTGCTGATCTGCCCCTTCTTGTCCTGCAGCCCAGGGCTCTGGACGCTTGAGTATTAGACCTCTGCACACTAGGCTTCCCACCCTTCTGTGTATTTCAGTTCACCAATTCTTTTTGGTTATATTTAATGTGCTGTTAAATTCCTCCATCGAATTCTTAATTAGGGTTGTTATAGTTTCTGGTTTTAGAATTCCCACTTTTTATAATAACTTTTGTTGCCCTGGCTGGTTGCTCAGTGGTTAGAGCGTCGGCCCTTGGACTGAAGGGTCCTGGGTTTGATTCCAGCCAAGGGCATGTACCTCGGTTCAGGCTTGATCCCTGGCCCCAGTTGGGGTGCATGCAGGAGGCAAACCATCAACGTGTCTCTCTCACATTGATGTTTCTCCCCCCTTCTCTGAAAAACTGTGGAAAAAATATCCTAGGAAGAAGATTTAAAAAAAAACAAAACTTTCTGTTATTTTGTCAAAACTCTCAACCCTGTCTTTCGTTAATCACAGTCCTTGGAAGTCTGCACCTGAAAATTGCAGGGCCCTTGAGGCTGCTCCTCTAGTTGCTGTTTCTCTCTCTTCTAACGCTGTTGCTGTTGTCTCACCTCTTGTGTTGAGTCGCTTTGGTTGAAAACGACATCATCTGTGAAAAACAGGAAATAATGAAAGGCTTAGAACGACATCCTCTACTTGCACCACTGCCTCCGAGCCGTTTCCTCCACGGCCCTCTGCTGTTCATGCTGACCCTGCCCAGCGTGGCCCAGCCTTGACTCGCCCTCTCCCCCCAGGTGGACGAAGAACTGCAGATCAAGGCCTACTACGCGGGCCATGTGCTGGGTGCGGCCATGTTCCAGATCAGAGTGGGCTCGGAGTCTGTGGTCTACACGGTCAGTGGGAGCCCTTGGGACACAGGAGAGCTGCTGGGCGGGGAGAGGAGGCCCTTTCCTTAATGCTGCTCCCCTGCAGGGCGATTACAATATGACCCCGGACCGGCACCTGGGGTGAGTCATGGTGTGTTGGTTTCATCCTGGGGATCCCCCCCTCCCCGGGAGTGCATTGACCTTCAAGGATGTGCTGGGTGCCTGAGCAGCATCAGTGGCCCCCACGGGTCCCCCATGCAAGGCAGAGTCTCTGCTCCTGACTTCCCATGAGTGCTACCCATTGCATTCTGCTGACTGGGCCTGTACAGGGGAGGCTGCCAGCAGGGGTCCTGGAAGGCCTTGGCTGTGGACGGGGTGGGGTCCAGTTCATTGCTCCCAACCTGGTGGCCGTGTGGGCTGTCCACCTCGGGCCACACCCACTATTCCAGGGCCGCCTGGATCGACAAATGCCGCCCCAACCTGCTCATCACAGAATCCACGTACGCCACGACCATCCGAGACTCCAAGCGCTGCCGGGAGCGAGACTTCCTAAAGAAAGTTCACGAGACGGTGGAGCGTGGTGGGAAGGTAGCTGGCCACAGTGGGGGCGCCAGGGGAGGAAGCCTCACAGAGCAACTGGGAAGAGAAGCTCCCTCTGACCCTCTGGGTTCTCCCCTCACGTCTCGGGTTCCAACGCGGAGCTGGCCGGAGTGTCCACTAGGGCCCCTTCTGGATAGATTGTGGCTGGAGGCAGGAGTGAGGAGCAGAGTGTGGGGGGGACCTCCAGCTCTCAAGGATGCTTGGCCATGATCTCTCAGTGGACAAGGCCTCTGGTCATAGGAGCTGCCAGCAGGGCCAGTCTTCACAGCAGCTGCTTCCTGAGAAGGTGGCCACAGGGAACAACTGCCCAGGCACTGTGCTCACCTGTGGGCTTCACCTGGGTGGGCAGGGTGGCCAGGGACTCCCACCCACGCCAGCCTTGGCCTCCTACCCCACAGGTGCTGATCCCTGTGTTTGCATTGGGCCGTGCTCAAGAGCTCTGCATCCTGTTGGAGACCTTTTGGTAGGTGCAGCCTGGACAGCTTCTGGGAGCCCTGGCCTGAGTGGGCGGTAGAGTAGGATGCCCCATGGCTGTGGGGGCGCAGCCTGATCCGGGAGGTTTGTGACCGCACACGGGCACCATCCTCTTGCACCGAGGCCTCCACACCTCTCAGCTCAACACGTCATAGGAGGCGGCAGGCTGAGGGCACTGGCATCAACCCAGCTGTGGGCTTGGGGGACACATAGCTTGTCCTGCCCTGGCGGCTCCTCCACGGTGGCCCCACGCTGTCCACAGGGAGCGCATGAACCTGAAGGCCCCAATCTACTTCTCCACGGGCCTGACGGAGAAGGCCAACCATTACTACAAGCTGTTCATCACCTGGACCAACCAGAAGATTCGGAAGACCTTTGTCCAGCGGAACATGTTTGAGTTCAAGCACATCAAGGCCTTTGACCGGGCCTTTGCTGATAACCCGGGTCCAATGGTGAGGCCCTGGCCTGGAGGGGTGGGCATGGCCGTCTGCCTTTTGCAGCCAGGACACTCCACCCAGGCTGGGGCTGGGGCACAGCTGCACTGAGTGTCCACTGCGCATTCCTCCGTCCTGTCGGGGGCCTTCCAGGGGTCTCTGCCTGCGGGTTCTCAGGGGAGTGGGGCACACACGTGTTGTGGGAAAGATGGAGGTTGGGGGTGGGAGGGGGCGTGGTGGGTGCAGCTGAAGGCCTGGCATGGGCTGCCCTGACTGCCCCATGGCCACCCCCAGGTCGTGTTTGCCACACCAGGGATGCTGCATGCTGGCCAGTCCCTACAGATCTTCCGGAAGTGGGCAGGGAATGAGAAGAACATGGTGAGGGGTCTGGGCCCCAGGATGGCTCCTTGGAGGGCCTATGAGGTTGGGCAGAGGTGGAAAGCAGGGCTCCCCCTGGCTTGGGGACACTGCTGCTATCAGCAGGGGGCTCGGTTCCCTGGGGCCTGGTGGCCAACCCAGGCAGCTCAAACTGTCACCGTGTCTCTGTCTGTACCAGGGGTTGTGGCGGCCAGGCCTGGGCAGGCTGGAGCCAAGACCTCTGAGCCTGCCTGGGTCTGTAGCTGGGCCGGCAAAGGGGAGTCAGCAAGGGGAAGGGACTCTGCCCAGGGTTCAGAGGAGCAGAAAGGTGGGGTGGGAGTGTCCCAAGAGGAAGCCCTGAGGCAGGAGATGGGAGGCCAGCAGCTCTGTCGCTTTCTGTCCCACAGGTCATCATGCCCGGCTACTGCGTGCAGGGCACCGTGGGCCACAAGATCCTCAGCGGACAGCGCAAGCTGGAGATGGAGGGGCGGCAGGTGGTGAGTACCTCCCTCCCCCAGCTCCTCGGGCCCTCTTGGGTGGGTGCTGACAGCCCCTGTGCACTGTGCCACTGTAGCTGGAGATCCGGATGCAAGTGGAGTACATGTCCTTCAGTGCCCACGCGGATGCCAAGGGCATCATGCAGCTGGTGGGCCAGGCAGAGCCTGAGAGCGTGCTGTTGGTGCATGGCGAGGCTAAGAAGATGGAGTTCCTGAAGCAGAAGATTGAGCAGGAGTTCCGTAGGCAGCCTGGGTGGGGTGGGCTAGGCTGGTGCCGGGGGTGTGGGCAGGGTCTACCCACGGGGTCAGCAAGGCAGGGTGGGCCAGGCCTACTGACGCTCTCTCTGCCCCTTGGTCCAGGGGTCAGTTGCTACATGCCGGCGAATGGTGAGACGGTGACGCTGCCAACAAGCCCCAGCATTCCCGTGGGCATCTCGCTGGGGCTGCTGAAGCGGGAAATGGCACAGGGTATGCAGGGCAGGCATCGGTGTCTTAAGTGGAGCCAGGCAGGGTGGAGCTGGGTAGGGCTGGCAGACTCTGGTGACTGCTCTGATTCCTGTCCTCTAAAGGGCTGCTCCCTGATGCCAAGAAGCCGCGGCTCCTGCATGGCACCCTGATCATGAAGGACAGTGTGAGTGTGCACAGGCAGTGATGGTGGTGGGGGGTTGGGTAGAGCTCCTGTGCGCTCTGACTTGCTCCTGCCCCATAGAACTTCCGGCTGGTGTCCTCAGAGCAGGCTCTCAAGGAGCTGGGCCTGGCTGAGCACCAGCTGCGCTTTACCTGCCGTGTACACCTGCACGACTCACGAAAGGAGCAGGAGACGGCCCTGCGTGTCTACAGCCACCTGAAGAGGTGGGTGCCAGCCTGGCCCCTCTGGCCCTGGGGGCAGGATGCAGCACCACCAGGCAGATGGGATCTCACCGTGTCTTTCTGCAGCCTCCTCAAGGACCACTGTGTGCAGCACCTTCCCGACGGCTCTGTGACTGTGGAGTCCACCCTCATCCAGGCTGCTGCCCACTCAGAGGACCCAGGCACCAAGGTGCTGCTGGTCTCCTGGACCTACCAGGTATGTGGTAGGACACAGAAGGGCTTATACCTGGCAGTGGGTCAGGACAGGTGGGTCACCCTATCACCCTGGCCGCCTGGATGGGGTGGGCTGGGGAGGATGGGACAACAGCCCCTGGTGTCCTGTTGTAGGATGAAGAACTGGGGAGCTACCTCACGTCTCTGCTCAAGAAAGGCCTGCCTCAGGCCCCCAGTGGAGGCAGCTGACCACAGCAGGCTGTCCTGCCCTTCCTCTGCCCAGCTGGAGGGCCCTGGGCTTCCCCTGTATGACAGTGTCTGTGCTCGGCCTTCCCTCTGGGTGTGCAGCACACAGCTGGCCACAGCCCTCAATTTGGGGACATTGTCAGTGTCACATCTGCCCAAGAGGCAGTTTTTGGTGGAATAAATAAATAACCCTGGAGACTTCTTCACATTTTATTTCTGAGTCTGAGATGATAATTTCCAGTAAACAGAACCAAAGGCTGCCTGTGTTCCAGTCTTGGTGCTCACGGTGCTCACACCTGTTTCTTGTACCTACCCCCGGGGTAGCCTACCTGGGGCAGACAGGCACCCAAGGTGGTGGGGACTTGGGGAGGCAGGAGGCCTGCTGTGGCCCCAGGCAGCTGAGTGCTTGACAACACAGGGCATGTGGTGTGCAGAGCTAGGCAGGGTCCAGTGGCCTGGCCAAGTGAGCCAAGGTTGCTCTTGACCTTGGCTCGGCACCTGGGGGTCATCTGTGGCTTCAGTGCTATGGACCCTGCAGACTACACAAGGCCAAAAGCTTTGGGAATGCTGGAGGCAGGACCTGTAGACAGATCCTAGGTCAGCTTGGGGGCAGGGAGTTCTCTGCAGGGGCTGGGGAGCCCCCCCTTAGCCTCCCTCCTCCATTGGGAACTCGTGGGGTGTGGGCTGAGGGAGCTCTGCCCCTGAGGAACATGGGCACCTCACTCCAGGCTGTTTGCCTTTGGGCCATTGGTCTCTGGCCTGAAGTCCTCTGGCTGACCTGGGGCCTCCCTGCCCCCTGGTCCCTGGCTTTCCTGCTGGGCCCAGGCTGGACTCCCAGATGCTAGAATGACAAATGAGGGCTGTGACAGCACTGCCACCAAGGGTTCCTCCAGCAAGGGCCAAGCCTGGAATGGGGCCAATCAGTGGGGTACACGGACAGGGATCTTCCCAGGCTGCCTCTTACCAAAGTCCTTGAGGCCGCTGTATAGCACTGACTTCAGGAACAAGCCGTGGGCCGGGGCCACACGTGTCTGATGCTTGCCCAGGGGGTCCCGGCTCTCAAGAATCATCTTCACCTGAGCAGGAGTCAAAGCTCCTAGTCCCACGGCCACCAAGATCGCTGTCATCCTCCGCACCTGCAACCCAAGGCCAAGGCTGCCACCATGGCCCGAGTCCCCCCGACCCCACCCTGGGAGGGCACCAGAACAGAGCCCACCTGTTTGTACAGGAAGGACTGGCTCTCAAACTCCAGGCTCCAGAACTGTATCCTCCTGGGGACACAGGCACCTGTGATGTCCAGGCCATAGGGTAGCCCCAACCCAGTTTGGCCCCAGACAAGGAAAGTGGGCTGGGCAAGGCAGGGGCCCCAGGAAGATTGTACCCACCCTCTCTTCTACCCCTGGGTCCTCCACTGATGTCCCCACCCCTACAAGAAACCTGTAAAAGGGAGATTTAAAACCAGACAACTATCACTTGTGGGAGGAAGGGATAGCAGAGCCTTCTGGGGGCCTTGCTGTGGGGACGGGGCCCTCGGGAGGAGATGCTAAGGTCCTGGTATCGGCTCAGATAGCTCATCTACTAGCCTTGGGCTGGGGCTCTTTGGCGTGAGTCTAAGGCTGACCATGTAGAAGTCTCTCCTCCCTCCAGTGCTGGCCCAAACTAGGAAGGTTCTGGAACTCAGCAGCTGCCATGGGGCCAGAGGCCCCTGGGACAGTGCTGGGGGCAGTGGAACCAACCCTGTGAGACTGGGCCAGAACCACTGCCTGGTGCTTCCCCAGCTGGACCTTCTCAGTGGCTGCGAAGATCCATCCACTAGACAGTGAGCTCTGGGCAGGGCTGGGAGCCCTCAGGGAAAGAGAAAAGCCCCCATTCTCGTCCTCTGTCCCCCAGCCGGGGGGGAGCGCACAGCTGCAAGTTACGGACACCATCCAACTGCCCAATAGGTGCCCAGGACATCCTGCCTCTGCACTGCCCTCACCAGGGAAGGTGCTGGAACTAAGGCCAGCCCCACAGCCTCCAGACCAGCACGCAGGCTGCCTCTCACCTCTCCTGGGGGACGACAAAGGGGCTGGCTGGGTCAGGGGACACCGAGGCTCGGCGCAGTGTGCGCACCGAGGTAGTGGACGGGCTGCCGGCCGACTGGAAGGCGCTGAAGTCATGTGTCCCCAGGAGGTGTTGGGCAGCCTCCTGCATGGCAGCTATGTCCAAGTGGCTGCAGGGAGCCAGGTGAGCGGTCAGGAGGAAGTGGCCAGCCAGGTGGGCCTGGCAACCCCTCCACTCGCTGTCACACCCCCACACTCACTCTGCCCGCAGCGCCCAGCATCGGTTCCGTTCAAACACAGACAGCTGGTCATGCCGGGGGCAGCCGGTGGCCAGGCGGTACAGGTAGGTCCTGGACGTGGCGGAGTGGCGGGCGTGGAAGTCACTGGGCACACGGAAGGCCTGCAGGACCCTGTGGGAGTCAAGTTAAACACAGCAGAGAAATGACACGCCCCACGCCCGTGTCCCCTTGCTGTCTCCCGTCACCCCCAAGAAGCTCTGTCCAGGCACAGTCCTTCCCGGTCTCTACCCGCGTGGACCCGTGGGTGAGAGCGCAGGGTGCTCACCGGATGGCGGGGTGCTTCAGGTGGGTGTTAAGGGCCTCCGTCAGGACCGCAGGGGAGAAGGGGGCCCGGCCGGAGCGGCGCTGGACGTCCAGGTGCGCCGCGTTGCTCAGCGCGTGGACCCCGGCGTCCGTGCGGCTGGAGAGCACGAGCTTCACGGGCGCGACCGACTTCAGCCTCTGCGCGGCCTCCTGCGGGGCCAG